TCTACCCAAAACCATTGATGTGATCTTGATCTTTTAATTTTTAGTTTTAGATGCATGTTTGGACTTATAGTTACATTAATCTGTATGGCTATAAGTTTGTCTCTCACAACTAAATTTGTGATGATATTTATGGAGGTATTGTGATTTGAATTCAATACGAAACAAAATTAAATAGAATTTTGAGTTTTTTTTTTCTTTAACATAAACTAAAATTCTATTATATTAGACATGAGCATCTAGATACAACAATACAGACAAGTCCTTAGGTGGGCAGTGTTTCTAATGAGGAGGACATTGAGTTTTAACATATGTTTTGATTAACAATATAAGTAATTTATACTTTTTATAAATAAGAATTTTTAAAAATATTTAAATATTTTTGTTATAACCTGAATACTCCATTAAGATAAATTGTGAGTGTAATTTGTCATGTCCAACAACCTGAGCTTGCCGAACCACTGAAAAAGACACTTCAGTCTTTGTTATAGATAACTACGGTACAAAGATACTGACTAGATCATGAAATTCTAAGATACTCGCGCTTTTCCTGTTTCAACGATCAAGATCTTGACACGTGGGCGAATCAAAACATTAGAAACTTCCGTCGTCTATAGTTCTCGTTAAAAGATTCTCCCACTGGGGTTTCTTCCTCTTTCTGTATGAGGCGAGCGCTCCTTCTCTCACCCCTCTTCCCTCTGTGTGTTTGAGGTGAGCCCTTTTTTCCCTTTCCTTCTTCTGTATATTTCATCTTCCTTCTTTTTTTCTTTCTTTCTTAACATTGTGGAATTCATTTCCTTTTATTGTTCTTCAAGCTTCGATCTAGATCTTTACCCATTCTGTTACATCCCACAAAACAGTTGGTTTTGTGTGCTTCTCCTATTCTGATTCCCATATATAGTAATACTAGTTTACTGATTCAAAATTGGATGTGTTCTTATTTCTTGTTTCTATTCTAGATTTTCATCAAAGAGCAGAAGTCATGGCGCCGATCAGGAAGGAGGGCCGTTCTGGGAAATCACAGCTGAGGCAACTTCAGGTGCGTATTCCCATTTCTTCCTTTACTCTGTGGTCGGCTATGCATGTTTGGTTTCAATTCAATTCATATTCAGAATCTTTGCATGAAAATTGGGTAGCAGGGTGAGTACAATATACAGATTGCCTTTAGAACGGAAGTATGAAACGATTTTATTGTTACTATTTTTAAATTCTTGCCTTGAATTGCTCTTTCTGAATTCTTCCCTTAAATTGTTGTGTGTTGGATTCTTTCCTGGACTTATTTTTAGCAGCATCATTGTTTTCTTCACCGTTGCTGACTGGCACTGTTTCTCCTTTGATTTTGATCTCCTTGATTCTTGCCTTGCGCTTATGACTCTAAGTTTCTTCAGTTTTTGGATCTTGATTGCTATCCCTGATGGTGTTTTCAATAGTCCTTTGACTGGGATGCATGACATTATCCTAGAGGAGCAGGAGAAAGAGCCTGCTTGCTAATCAAGCCATACCCTTTTTGGTCTTCAATAACCTGTCATTTTTACTTTCAATTTTCTGTGTGCCTGACTAAAATTAAACAATTTAGAAAATGGACAAAAGGGTGTCAAAGCAAAGAGCTGAACTGATTCGTGCAAAAAAGCGTGTGGAGAAGGACAAGGCAGCAGCAGAGGCAGCAGCAATCATATTAGCTGAACGGAAAATGTGGAATGAGCTCCACAAAAAGGAAATTGAGCGCAGCGAACGCTTCATTGCTCTTACCCTCGATATTTTGGATGCAAAAGATCACGGTGACCTTGCCACAGCTGGCGTTCTTGAGCACTCTAGGAGGTTGGCTTCATTAGAACATTTTTCACTCCAGTATTCATACATTTTATATATTAATTTTCTTGTTTCAGTTTAGCAAGTAATATTTCTTGTTTCTTTTACTTGCTCAGTGAGTTGCTGGCTAAGATGGAGGAGGAAATACAAGCTTTAATGAACACTGGTGGCAGTCGTGAGTGAAAATTGGAACATACAGTGACTATGTCTTATTTACTGTTGGTTAGCTCCTCTGCTTCTTATTGTTACTGCCAAACAGACAATTATCTCATCTAGATTGCCCTGTCCTGTAATAAGGTGATGCTAGATCAATTCCAAATGCTGCAAAGCACTGAGACACCATTTTTAATATCTTGCATTTGATGTGTTTCATTTTGGAATTTCTGCCATAGTTATTGCTGTTTCATCCACCTTGAATGTTAGTTGAGACAATGATGTGGGACAGGTTAAGGGGTTATGGTGGGCTTGGGGATTTAGAGGCTGTTTAGGCAAATATATACTGTGAATAGTATGCGTGAACAGTAAAATAGGGTCTGTTTAGGATAGAATAGAGGAAGAAATAGAAAACAAACAACGAGAAGGATAGAAAAAGACTAGGAGTCACACCTAGGTTTCTTTAGGCATCACACCGAAAGAGGATGAAAACCCTTAAACATTACACCTAAGGTTAGTTGTATCACGGAACCAAGATTGCATCACACAATCAAGAGCAAAAATCGCTGGAAAATTCTAAATATTATTAACTGAATAATGAAAGAAACTACATGCATATTTATCTAGAAACTACTAAGACTCCTACTAGAACTCCTATTCTAATTAGTCTATAACTTGAAATTTAAAATTTCTAATTTAACTAGGACTTAAGACTCTTGATAAAAGACCTAATCCTAAAAACTAATGATAACTACACTTGAATAAAAACAATTACTTAAGAATTCTAAATAATCTAAATAATTATTGAATAGCTTCTTCTTCTTGTTCCTCATCATTCTCCCCTTGTTGGAGAAAACTCAACCTCGAGTTTTGAAGTGCCGAAATAGCAATCTTGTAGCTGCAAGGTAATTCAGTGGTGGTAACTCTAGCTCTTCTCTTGTCTAAGATATTGAGAGATTTCCTTTTACCTTCAACAGTACATATAGGTTGTGATGAACTCTTTTCTTCATAGCTCTTAATCTGAAGTGAGCTCATGGGTTGCAGCACAATGGTTTTGTTTCCAGCAGGAAATGAATAGGTGTTTTCTTGTCCATTATGACTCACATTTTTTGTCATAGAGCCAAGGTCTTCCAAGAAGAATGTGTGTGACTTTCATAGGAATAACATCACATAGTATTGAGTCACTATAGGCACCATACCTAAAAAAAACAAGGCATTGTTGAGTTATTGGTATTGTCGCATCATTTAACCAAGCTGCTTTATATGGTTGAGGATGTAATTTTGTGGGAAGTTGGAGGCATTCCACTGTGGATTCTTATATAACATTCATGCAACTTGCACTGTCTATGATAAGCCTTTTAGCTTGATCTCCACAATGAACTAAGGTTTGGAATAGTGAATTTCATCTCCAATCTTTTTCCTTTACCTTAGTGACTTTTAAGATGCACCTAACAAAAGATAAGTGGGAATTATCTTCATCATCTTCAAGATCATCAGCCATATAAACTCCAAAATCATATTAATTTTCTTTAGTATCTTCAACTTGCTGTTTTTCATCATCTTGTGCTTTTCCCATATGCAGATTGTTTCTTCTTTGACATTGATAGGCCATATGTCCATCTTCCCCACACTTGAAGCAAGTTACACTTTCGTTACCCTTTTTGTTGAATGCGAAACCCTTTTCTCTTCCTTTTTGGGAAGTATAATTTGGCCCATTGTAGTTGTTTGAAGCCTGTAAAGCATCTGAATATTCATCATAATTCTTTCTTGCTACTACCTCCCCTATTTGGAGCTGATTTTTCATACTATTCTGGTGTTTATATATTCTTCTGCACTAAGTGCTGCTTGGAATACATCTTTAACACTATAAATAGGTTATCTAAGTAATTCATTTTTGATATCAGCTCTGAGACCAGCTCTGAACCAAGAGGCAGCTTGTGAGGTATCTTCCACAACTTGACTGCTGATCTTTAGCTCATCAAAATTCTGCATATACTCAGCCACTGTCATACTTCCTTACCTCAAAGTATAAACCTTATCATGCATCTTGTCTAGATAATTTTGTGGCAAGTACTTTTCTCTCAACTTTGCTTTCATCTCCAGCCAATTAGCAATGGGTGGATGTCCTAATCGGGCTAAGTCACTTTCAACACCCTGCCACCATATTTTGGCTAATCCCTCAAGTTTCATCTTAGCAAACCTAACTCTTCAAAGATCTCTCATGTCATACCAGTTGAAATATTCCTCCATAGAATTGATCCAATCAGAAAACACAATAGGATCGACTTTCCCTTCAAAATCAGGGACTTCAATCTTGATTTTCTTAGTAATATCACCAGCTGTATCTTGTATTCCCTTCTGTCTACCCTCATCTCTTGCTGCTGCTGTTGTTAGTTGAAGGGTTTGTGCAGGCCTTGTGTCTTGCTCGTGAGGGGTGGTTTCTTTAAAGGTTTCAACTTGGACAGTACTTAGTTTCTTGGTCACGATCTCTTCTATCTTGGAATCTAGTTTCTTAGTCAGTGTCTCTTCTACTGAATCCATGCATTCAACCCACTGCTTAAATGCAGATTTGATCTCTTCTCAATCTCATTCTAAAACTGTAACTCTAGCATTCAACTCAGCATTTGTCACCATGATTGAGGAAAAAACTCAACAATAAAGTTGTAGGATCCTTTGCTCTGATACCAACTGATGCAGGACAGGCTGGGGGGTATGGTGGGCTTGGGGATTTAGAGGCTGTTTAGGCAAATATATAATGTGAATGGCATGCGTGAACAGTAAAATAGGGTCTGTTTAGGATAGAAAAGAGGAAGAAATAGAAAACAAACAACGAGAAGGATAGAAAAAGACTAGGAGTCACACCTAGGTTTCTTTAGGCATCACACCTAAAGAGGATGAAAACCCTTAAGCATCACACCTAAGGTTAGTTGCATCACACAATCAAGAGCAAAACTTGCTGAATAATGAAAGAAACTACATGCATATTTATATAGAAACTACTAAGACTCCTACTAGAACTTCTATTCTAATTAGTCTATGACTTGAAATTTAAAATTTCTAATTTAACTAGGACTTAAGACTCTCGATAAAATACCTAATCCTAATAAAAGTAGGAAAACTAATGATAACTACAGTTGAATAAAAATAATTACTTTAGAATTCTAAATAATCTAAATAACTATTGAATAGCTTCTTCTTATTCGTCATCAGACAACATAACAAAAGATAATGCAATTGAATGTCTAGATGTTCAATCTGATCAAGAGTCTAGTAGAATCTGATGAAAAGATCTGGTAGAATCTGATGATGTGATATTGACCATTTTTGTCAGATGTTAGACCAGTGTGGCAGTTTGATTATTAAAAAGAGATCCAAGGAATATGCAGAATATGAATGAATATGTTGTTTTGGTATCTGGCCTCTCATTAACACTTTTTTTAAGTATTCTTCATTCCTCATCCAATTACAAATGCATGTGTTGCCTTGGAATATGATATCCGAGGTTGATAAACTGCATGAACTGTTATGCTTTGAATTTGTACATAGGACATACTGCAATTTGTTATGAAGAATTTCATATGCCATATGGAAGGTACTTTTTCTCTTCTGCTTACCGTTATTTCTTTGTTGACCTTGTTTCATTTTATCAAGATACTAGGATTTGGTTTAGCATTTAGTTATGGTTTGCATAAGAAGGAAACAGTTATCACCAAAGGGAGGGCAAGACGAATGACAAATTTAATATAGCTGTACGAAGACATTGATAGAACTAGTTTGATATAAAACTTCTAGCACTGCAGGCTTGATTTGCAGTAATTAGGGTGGAGCTTTTCTTTTCTTTCTTTTGAATAATGAATTAGTAGTGTTGAACATCTTGTTTTGTCCAGCCAGATTTTGATGCCAATGAATTCTTTGTCATCTCTGTAAGTGGTGCAGGAGAAGTAAATGTTTGAGATATGAAGCATTCTTTTTCTGTTTGGATGGACAATGCTAGCATTTAGACATGCTGTCTTGTGATAAGTATTGCCATTTCTTCCCTAATCTGGCTTAAATCTGGTTCATGACTGATGCAAAAACAACATATTTCCTGTTTCCTATGGCCGGGGTCATGCATGTTCGGTTTCAATGGAATTGCTATTCCAAGATCTCTTTGCATTATAATTGGTTAATTAGTCCCTCTTCTAAATTCTAGTTCACCCTATTCCAAGACCCTTTTCCGAATTCTAGATTACCCTATTCCAAGATCCTTTTCCTAGATTACCCTGTCGTTTGATAAAGTGATGCTAGATCAATTCTAAAATATGCGAAGCACTGAGACTCCTTTATCAATTTCCTGCGTTGGATATGTTTCCTTTTGGAATTTCTGCCATGGTTATTGTTGTGATATGACTAGTGTTTCATCCATTTGTGTGTTAGTTGAGACAACTGATTGAAATATATTGCAACTGAAGCCCTAGATGTTAATATGGTGAAGAGTGCTAGGCTGGTAGTAGTATCTGATAATGTAATATTTACTATTTTTGTCAGGGGTGTTGACTGTTCTTGATAATTTAAAGATCTACGGAATATTCAGAAAATGAATGAACTTGTTGTTTTGGTATCTGGTATATAATGATTCCTTTTTTTAAGTATTCTTCATTCCTCATCCAATTCCAAATGCATGTGTTTCCTTGGAAAATGATATCCAGAAGTTATTAAACTGCACAAACTATTATGCTTTGAATTTGTGCACAGGACACCCTGCTGTCAGTTACAAAGAATTTCACCTGCTATACAGAGGTTTCTTTTTCTCTTCTGCTTAAACCATTAATTTTTAACCTAGCTAGTGTCAATTAATCAGGAGAGCCTAGGATTATGTTCAATGTTTTTTAATAAATAGGAAACAGCTATTGGTATCACCTTGAGGGGGAACTGCAAATTTTATATAATGCTATAAAGAACTTCTGGCGTTGCAGGCTTGATCTGCAGTAGTTAGGTTAGAGCTTTTCTTTTCTTTCTTTCCAATAATGAATTAGTGTCGAACATCTTGTTCTTGACACCAATGATTTTATTGTCATCTTTGGAAGAGGCGCAAGAGACATAAAAGTTTGAGATATGAAGCATCATCTTCTATTCGGGAGGCTAATGCTAGCATTTAGACATGCAGGTTTGGCCATTGGCTTTAATACAGAGATAATAATTTGCACTGTTCTCCATTTTTTTTAAGAGGAGAGATACCATTTAGGCACTAAGTGGAGCAGCTGCGAATTACAACAAAAATTGACATCCGAATTAATGAATCCACGTTCTATCCAAATGAATAAACAGTACTAGAAGAGTTTATGTCATTTAGGATGTTTTTCCTTTCAATACCAATAACTAATTTGAAACAGAATGCAGTTATCTGCATGAAGTTCTTCGTGAAATTCTTTTCCCTTCATTTGGTTAAAGCATTGATTCCTATTCTGCTGCAGCTCTCCTTTCTGCTACATCATTTTCCTTGAAACTTATCTGTTGGTTTTTCTTCTCTACTTCAACCTTCATCCTTCCGAGCGCCATATATGTGGTTTGATTCAATTCATTGGCAGTGTTTAATGAAAAAGAACAGCAACAAACAATTGATAACAGGATATGAAGACAATCAAAATGGAGTAAGATATGACAATGCAACTACCTCAACCTTGAGCATATGACACTTTCTCTCAACAATTTTACCCCTTTTCTTCTTTTTCCTGCTAGGCTATATCTTCTCTACCTTAGAAAGAAGGTGTTCCTCAAAAATCCTCTAGTGGCCTCGCACGTGTGAAATCTGATGCGGGCGTGCCACTTACTTTGCTGAAAGTAAGAAAGGAGGACTTTCCCAACGACTCTCTCCTTCCTCACGGTCGACCTCTTCGCAGATGGCGGGAAGAACGTTGGATTAAAATGAAATTTGCGCCTTCAAACGATTTGCAAGAGGGAGGGATACCTTTCTGTAGAATGGGTTACGAAATCTGCCTTGGACAACTCCAAGGACTTAAACACTACCGTGACTTACAATTAACAAATCCTAATTATTCTAAATTACTTGCAACTTAAAATAAACTTACGAGAAAGAAGTGTTCCCAAATTAAATTAAACATGCTTATGGTAAAATTAAAAGTGCAATCTATTGACAAATTCAGAAATTAAATTGCTGCAGATCTGGAAACTTAAACCTAATTAGCACTGAGATTAAACGTGAACAATGAATAAATAACGTGAACAGTGAATAAATTGAAGAAACTTGAAATTGGATAGAAGCTTGAAGGCCACATAAGTAATCATTGAAGCAATGCTACTTAACATAAACATTAAATTAATAACAAATGAAAAGAAAACAATACCTTGCATAAACTTGAAGGATTGAAGTTCATCGCATGAAGGAAAATTGTTTTAACTGAATATAGGAATAAATTTGTCTACTGGAATGAGGAAAAACAACCTAATTCTAATGGAATCTGTGCTAAAATACGAAATCTGTGCTGAAAAACCGAAATCTGGAAGCATGTGCAGAGAAAATCAAAGTATGAAAAGTTGTAGTTTGTTTGAGTAGGGCTGGCCGTATCTTCCTCTTTGTGCCGAAGTTCCCTTTTTGTTCCTCTTTGTGCCGGCAGTTACTCAATCATAGGTAGTTTGTTGGAGTAGTGGGACAACTCACCTTTTGACCTAGTCTAATCCCCTTTTTAAATGTGATCCTCCCCTGTCTTCCAGCTGCCATTATCTCTTTCTGTTTCAAAAAGATAATTACTCCATAAAACATTATCTTTACCTCTCCTACCTTGCCAACACATATGCTGATCTGTCATGGGGCTCAGAATCCGAATCCGACATGGCTTAAACTCCTCCAGCCAATAAAAATTTTACACGTGGCATTAATTTAAAATTTTGCAATTTATGGTGTAAACAGAAGGATAACGTACTCCTCAACTCAACCTACTTGATTCAGGATAAAGATCAAAAGATCCAAAAAAACACCCTAATTTTTTTATAGTTGATACTGTGATTTGGTAATTGGTCTACCGCAAAATCTGAGGTTTTTGACATTTTTGTTTTTGCACTTTTTAATAGGCTTAATTTAATGATTAGTCGATTAACTATTAATCTAATTTCATTTTAGTTTAGAAAGTTATTTTTTTTTATATCATCTATAAATTTTGTAAAATATTTTAAAATACTCTACTACATAATTTCTATTAGGATGACAAAGAAGTTAAATTAAAATTAAAACCAAGTAATCCTTTAGTTTTGGCAAAATAATACTATAATCTCAATATAATATGATTATTTATGAAAAACTGTATACAAATATATTAATTAGAATTTGTGATGAACTTGGGCCACTAGCTCAAAAAGAAAGAAACTTGGTAAGAAAAAAAGAGATATTTAAAAATTTAGTTTCAGCTAACAAAGTAGTTTATAACATATTGTGCAAGTGGTTAAAATATATTAATAATTGTAATTTATACCACAAAAGAGAATTGTAGAAAAAGAAAGATAAAGTAACTTCTAATAAAGAAACAATGAAAAAATTTATTATTCTCACAAAATTAATTTTATCTCATTAAAAAGTAAACAGGTTAAATTAAATTGCAATAAAAGTGACAAATAGTAGATAAATATGAAAATTTCCAAAAATAATAGACAAAATAAAACAAAGTATAAAAGTTACTAAATTGTTTGTTAAATTAAGCCTATAATATAATGACTTCTCTCTGAGCAAAAGAAAAATTTTTTGTTCTTTTTTTGGTCCTTTTCGTGCTCAGTGAGTATCTGGAAGAAGAGAAATTCAAGCAGAAAGTTGACAAGTAGGCATCTTTGACCCTGCTTTGGTTTTATTTGATTTGAATTTGCTTTATTTGATTGACATCTGTTTGGTTCCCAGGAAAGTCCAGGAAAAACAGGAGAAA